CCCTCCAGAAGCCCGCCTCTCCCCTTGGCAGGTGTGGAGAATTCACCTGCGTTTTTGGTCACTTCCTGTGCACTCTACTGCCTTCCCTGGCTGCTCAGAAAACATGGGCCTTGGAGCAAGTTCATCGACTTCCTCTCTCCTCTCGATTCCTAGCCAGCGGCCAGTCAAGAGGCAGCCCCACAGTCCTCTGGGCGGCAGGGGCCGGTGATTAAGTAGCCAGGTCTTTAGCTGATTCCATCCTTGTTTGTCATAACTCTGCTGCAAGTTATTTTGGTCTCTGTGACTTGTGGCGGCACCATGATTAGGGTTTGATTACTATCACCAAAGCGACTAAAAGATGAAAATAGAAGCCACAACAGGAAATAAACAACTGCAAATGAGCTATTTTATTCCATATTCCCTGCCAGCAAATGATTAGAATCAAATTCATTCACAATAGTTTGGTGAACTCTTAAACTTTTTCTTAAGGGTCAGAATAGTCTGAAACTGCGTGTTTGCTGGCCTCCTTTGTGCCTTTGGAACGGAAAGAAAGAAGCTACCTTTCTAGGCACACCAGCCCGCCGGGAGTTCCTCTACTGCCAGGCTTCTGGCTTCTTTCTTGGAGAGGAGAGGAATAAGAATGTGATGGGGTGGGGCTATCAGGAAGGTTGGGATGTTAACTGATTCAGGGATGCCAGGGAGCTATAAAGCAGCACCAATCATTGTAGCTACTTGCTAAGCACCGCACCCAGCGTCTACCTAGGGTAGCAAAATGGAAGAGGAAAGCCGTGTAGAGAGGGGTGACACCTGAATTAATACACCTACAATTACACTATATGGGAACATATCTCTGCAAGTACGTGCATGTTCCACCTAGACAAACCGTGACGTCAGACTCCATTCCTGAAACACCCATGAAACTTACCTGCCCTGTGTGTGCTCCGGCCTCTCATTACAGAGCCTTAGCACTACTGGCCAGATCTCCAAAAGATTCTTCAGATTCTCCATTTAGCCAAGAAGCTTAATTAGAATTATGACTTCTGCTTTCTCTGCTTATTGAAGTCCTTTCTGTTGCTATGAAGCCTGGTCTGACCACTCTAAAAAAGTGAAGATGTTTTAGGGAGACCCAGAACAGAGAGGGGATGGGGCCCTCGAGGGCAGAAACTTGCCCAGAAAACCTTATAAACGCTGCCAAGTGCTCGCCTAACGTGGGGATTGCTGTTGGCCCAAGTTGCTTAACCAGTGAGTGGCAACGCCCCAGCCTGGAATCAGATTTTCTGACCTCTAGTCTGGTACTCTTTCTAAGCCTTTCTAAGGTGAAAATATGATACATTTCCCAGACACCTTAAAAATCCCATTTCTGTCTCTTTCGTCTTCCGTTGCCTATTGTGATAGGCCTCCCAAAGTGCTGGGATTACACCCTTTCTCCAGTCTCTTCTGTGCTTTCTCGGCTGCTGTCTTCACAGGTTGCTTCTTAGAATGTTTTATACACACACACAAGGTTTCGATGCCCTTTTCAACAAGCCATATTTTAATTTACAATAAAATTATGATGTTATACAACTGCAGCTTATGTGGCCTTACACAGTAAATGTTCAGAATGGCAACTTCTGTCCTGTCCAATAGGGTTCTGTACTGCTTGGGGCATCCTACTGTCTTCCAAGTCAATAAGTGTTAGCATCTCCTTGCCTGGAGATGATCATGTAAGCAATGTTGCTGATTTCTTCTGGAATGTATGTTACCAAAAGTACTTTTGGTGGGGTGGAGGAAGGGTCCAAATGCTCCTTAAGCCCTAAGTGTTGATTTCTAATTATTTATTAAGCATCTACTATTGTATTAATATGTTATAAGTCTTTTTAATTGCTGGAGGGGGAGAGGGCTTGAGCTCTAAAGGTGGCTAAGATTCATTCCTGCCTTTTCCTTTTAAAAACATATAATTTAGCTGAGGAGATGTAGATTTCATCTTTTTCTTTTTTGTCCTTTTCTTTCTCTCTCTCTTTTTTTTTTTTTTGAGACAGAGTCTCACTCTGTTGCCCAGGATGGAGTGCAGTGGCGCGATCTCGGCTCACTGCAACCTCCGTCTCCCGGGTTCAAGGAATTCTCCTGTCTCAGCTGGGATTACAGGCACGTGCCACCTACCTGTTTAATTTTTGTATTTTTAGTAGAGACGGGGTTTCACCATATTGGCCAGGCTGGTCTCAAACTCTTGACCTCAGGTGATCCACCTGCCTCGGCCTCCCAAAATGCTGGGATTACAAGCGTGAGCCACTGCGCCCGGGCACATTTCACCTTTTCTAAAGATTATTTTAAGGCCAGGTGCAGTGGCTCACGCCTGTACTTCTAGCACTTTGAGAGGCCGAGGCAGGTAGATTACTTGAGGTCAGGAGTTCCAGATCAGCCTGGCCAACATGGTGAAACCGCGTCACTACCAAAAATTACAAAAATTAGCCAGGTGTGGTGGCAAGCGCCTGTAGTTCCAGCTACTCCAGAGGCTGAGGTGGGAGAATCATTTGATCCGGGGAGGCAGAGGCTGCAGGAAGCCGAAATCGAGCCACTGCACTTTAGCCTGGGTCAAGAGTGAGACTCTTAAAAAAAAAAAAAAGATTCTTCAAAGCCCCCAGTGAGTTTCACTGCGGGCCTGATCTCATAATTCTCAATGGCTTTTTTTTTTTTTTTTTTTTTTTTTTAAATCGTATTTCACTGAATATGAAGTGAGGTTAGATCACCATGCCAACCAGTGGCCTCATCAATACTGACGTGTGTGTATTTAAATAATTACGTTTCTCAGAGCCATCAGCTTTCACGCTGTATATGCGTTCATGCCCTAGCAATGCCATGCCCGTTTCTATGCAGTAACTCGCCAGCTTGAGTCTATCTTCGGGACCTGGGGTCAAGGTATAAACTCTCTGACCCTAAGCACCTTGAAAGCTACGAGGCCCAGAAACAGGCCCTGCATGCAAATAAATGCCCTAGGCAGGTCTGCTCGCTGGGTAACCTTCCCGCGCCCGGAGGCAGGGTGGCTGGTGGCGGAGGTCTTCCGGGCCCGGGAGGAAACCTGCCGGCGGCGCGCAGGCGAGCCCCCGCCTCCCGCTCCCCTTCTCCCGCCAGGAGGCTGCCCCTCGCAGCTCGTCAGCCGGCCAAATGCATTCCATAGCTGTGCACAAGACACACTTCTCCAGGCAGTCCTAGAAACCGGAGCCCGGAGCGGAGAGGGCGGGAGGGAGCGCGCGGCCGCCGCTGAGGTCATATTCACGCCGCCTCCCCGCCCTCGGCGGCTGTTCCCCTCAGCGCACACTTCCCGGGGCCTCGGTCCAGTCCCGTATAAATGTCTTTTAAACCAAGACAGCGCTCTCCTCCCCTTGCCCTCCGGCGCGGCCAAGGGATCCGCCGCCAGGGCCTTTAAAACAAAACCAATGAATGAAGCGCTAGAGCGAGCGCGCGCGAGATGGCCACCGCGAAGCCCAGCCGGGTCGAAATCGGGCTACCGACCGGCTCGCTCAGCTCCAAAACTCGCAGCGAAGCCCGCTCGGTGCTCCCTGCTTTTCCAATTTCTCCATGGCTCCGGCCGGGGCTCAATCGATTCTGGGAGCTTCTCTGCCCCCCACCTCTCTCTCCCCTCCGTCGGTACCCCATCTACAGACCCGGGAGGGGGTGGCGGTGGCGGGGGGTTGGGGGGAGAAATAGCTTTTAGAAACCCGATCTGTTGTTTGCGAAACACAATCGCTTTTTTTTTTTTTTTTTAAAGCGACAGGGTGTCTAGACGGCCACGTGACGAGGCCGGAGCCGGGCGCGCCACTGCGCAGTGGAACCAGCCGAGCAGAGGGCCGGAGGGGGGGTGCGGGGGGGCGGGGAGGAGGCGGCGGCGGCGGCGGCTGGGGGCGGGGGAGGGAAGGGGGAGGAAGGGGGAGGGAAGGGGGCGGGGGCGGGAGGCCTTGCGGGAGGCGGCGAGCCCTGGGCACACTCGCTTGCTGCTCGGCTCACTGAAGATCTTGTCCCCGAGCCGCGCCAGCCGAGCCAGCCGGGCGCCGTGCTCGGTCCGCTCGCCGCGCGGGAGAGAGCTGCCCGAGACAGAGCCAGTCCGCCGCCGCCGAGCCGCCGAACGCCCGGCCCCTGAGCCCCAGAGTGCGGCGCGGCGAGCCCCTGGCGGCGGCAGAAGGACCCGAGCGCCAGGAGAGGGCGGACCGGGGACAAGGAGGCTCCCGGGCGCGACGAGGAGAGTCTTGGAGGAGGAGGCGCCGAGAGGACACCGGGGCCTCCTGCCGCCGCTGCTGGGGCCAGGCGAGCAGCCCATGCGGGGACCCTCGGCGGCCAGCCGCGGCCAGGGGAAGGGACACCGGCGGCCCCCGCACTAGCAAGCAGCTTGTGCCCAGGGGGGGCGAGAACCCGCGACCCGCCTGGGGCCCTCCGCCGCCGCCGCGCCGCCCTCCCCCGCGCTGTCAGCCCCGCCGGGCTCAGCCGCCGCCGCAGCATCTTCTGCCCCTGCGCCCCCGCCAGCCTCGAGGAAGTCCCCGCCGAGGACCTGGGCCCCCAGGAGCGCAGGAGGAAAGACCAGAGACTCCTCTAAACCACCCAGATGCGCAGGATTGAAGCGGTCTAGCCAAAGCTTTCTGTGGATTAAAAAAATACACGATTTTTTTTTTTTTTTTTGGCAGAAGGAGAGGAAGACCAGCGGGGCTTTGCAAGGAAAAAAGGGGGGGATGTAACTCGTGGATACATTTTTCCACCCCTCAAACATCTTGTTATACTTTGTAAACATTTTCTTTTTTTAAGCCCCAGCTCCAGCCGGACGCCCCCAGACCTCAGAGGTTCGAGGAGGTGGTGTTTTTAATTTGGGGCTTTGCATATTTGGTTGTTAGGTTTTGCGAGAGCCTTCTTATTTCGCCAGACATCTCATGCGGGGTGAAGTCCACTCGGCCCCCTCCCCTGAGTCTTCGTGTGCACGGAATTCGAGGAGATCCGGTTACTAAGGATATAGAGAAAAAAAATAAATTGCGTGCTTGCTTTTTTTTTTTTTAATTGCCTGCTTCTCCCCACCCCCAAATTAAGTTGCTTAGCAAGGGGGAAAGAGGCTTTTTCCTTCTTCCAGCAGCCCAGCCGAACGCCTTTCGCTTTTTTGCCCCCGCGGACCTTCCATGTAGGAAGCCGAGGCTGGCGAGCCCGACATTCGGGAGCCACTGCGGGGGGGCCTCTTTTTGGGGAGGCGCCGACGGGGGCAGGCTCGGCCGTCCCCAGGGAAGCGGCGGCCGGGTTCCTCCGGGGCGCGCCGGGGCCGGAGAGCCGCGCAGGGCGCGGGCCGCGCGGGGTGGGGCAGCCGGAGCGCAGGCCCCCGATCCCCGGCGGGCGCCCCCGGGCCCCCGCGCGCGCCCCGGCCTCCGGGAGACTGGCGCATGCCACGGAGCGCCCCTCGGGCCGCCGCCGCTCCTGCCCGGGCCCCTGCTGCTGCTGCTGTCGCCTGCGCCTGCTGCCCCAACTCGGCGCCCGACTTCTTCATGGTGTGCGGAGGTCATGTTCGCTCCTTAGCCGGCAAACGACTTTTCTCCTCGCCTCCTCGCCCCGCATGTTCAGGACCAAACGATCTGCGCTCGTCCGGCGTCTCTGGAGGAGCCGTGCGCCCGGCGGCGAGGACGAGGAGGAGGGCGCGGGGGGAGGTGGAGGAGGCGGCGAGCTGCGGGGAGAAGGGGCGACGGACAGCCGAGCGCATGGGGCCGGTGGCGGCGGCCCGGGCAGGGCTGGATGCTGCCTGGGCAAGGCGGTGCGAGGTGCCAAAGGTCACCACCATCCCCACCCGCCAGCCGCGGGCGCCGGCGCGGCCGGGGGCGCCGAAGCGGATCTGAAGGCGCTCACGCACTCGGTGCTCAAGAAACTGAAGGAGCGGCAGCTGGAGCTGCTGCTCCAGGCCGTGGAGTCCCGCGGCGGGACGCGCACCGCGTGCCTCCTGCTGCCCGGCCGCCTGGACTGCAGGCTGGGCCCGGGAGCGCCCGCCAGCGCGCAGCCTGCGCAGCCGCCCTCGACCTACTCGCTCCCCCTCCTGCTGTGCAAAGTGTTCAGGTGGCCGGATCTCAGGCATTCCTCGGAAGTCAAGAGGCTGTGTTGCTGTGAATCTTACGGGAAGATCAACCCCGAGCTGGTGTGCTGCAACCCCCATCACCTTAGCCGACTCTGCGAACTAGGTGAGAAGTTGTCCCCTTACCCCCAACATTTTCCGGCGCGCCAGTGCTGGAAGAAAAGCCCTTAGGGCAGTGCGTTTGTGCAGCCACCCCTCCAGGGGGAGTGTGCATCCCCTCCTGGGAGGAGACTGGGGGCCGAAAGTAGAGAAGGGACACGGGGAAACTCAAAGGGCATTCCCTGGGGGTTCCCTTCCAGGATTTCTCCTGTGTTGCCCCGAAGGGGTCTATGGGCACTGCTCCTGCACACAGTTTGCGGTTAAAAATTAGACGCCTTCATTTCCGGATCAACAAGGGGTGCAGAGGGAGATGGGGGGGTCACGCCTCCCCGCACCCGGAAAGGCGTTGAGGTGTGTGACCGAGTTGGATTTGGTCCAGGCCCGCCAAGGAAGGCTGGGAGAAGCATGCTATAAAAAGGCTGGAAGGTCTTCGTATTTACTCCTTCAGTAAATAAGGAGAATCACGTCGAACACAAGTGGCCCAGATACTGTCGTGGCCGCGCAGCTTTGGAGTTTTGGGGCAAAGAGAGTTGGATGGAAGGCAGAACTGGGTATCTGTCTCCTTTCAATTCTGCCAGCCCCAGGGTGCAGAGGAACAAACAGCCAGGAGAAGTTGGGTGTCCCCTACTTTTTCCTTCCTTCCGCACAGATAAGTCTATAGATTAGTGGGGCCCTGCGCCTCGGTGACGTTGTCGCCCCTTACTGCGCTGGGGCCAGGGCTTCTCGGCTGAGACCCTGAAACTTCTTCCCTTTTATCCTGTCAGCTTTCTCCATTCCTTCCTTTTCTGTATGTCTCTGTACACGGAGTGTGATGTGAGGGTTCACCTCGGGCGACCGCAGATCCCCCAAGTTCACCAGCACGCTTGGGCTGCATCTGCCGAGTGCGCTGGGAATGGGGAGCCCCGTGTCCCCCGCGCGGGTGCCCAGCGGACCGGCGGGGGCGGAGGTGAATTGCACCCCTGGGGGGCGGGCCAGGGCGGGGAACCGAGGTTGCTGGGAGCTGGGTCTGGAGTCCGAGGACGGGGTGGGGGTATGGTCGCCCCCCGCCTGTGAACTGTGAAGTGCGCGGCTCCGGCTGAGCCGGTGGATTCCAGCCGGGCCAGCCGAGCGCGGCGGCGGCGGCCGCAGACGTGGAGGAGCGGAGCGCCGAGGCTGGCGCCAGGCGGCCTCTTTTGTTTATCTGACAGCTAAATATCAAGGCAATCACCGCCTCGCGGCCCTGCCTCCAACCCCCACAGCTAAGACAAACAGTTGGGCTAAAAGAATGCTTCTGTTATCATAAGTTTCTATCTCTCTTCTCATGGCTGGGCCTTCATTTTCTCTTGCTTTTTTAATTTCAGAGTCTCCCCCCCCTCCTTACTCCAGATACCCGATGGATTTTCTCAAACCAACTGGTGAGTAGATGATTTTTAAAATATCCTTCCTATCTTAAGTTAGAAATAGAGCCTCTAGAACCTGGCTTTTTGTGTGTAGGCAAAGTCTTGGAGAGGTGCTGGGCTTGCTTCACTTCACGTTGGTTCTAGGTTTCCTCTGTTGGAAGTTTGGTGAATTTTTCTGTTGTGACTGGGTTTTTGTTTTGTGTTTTTGCAAAGATGTTCCCTTGATATGCTTTACATTTTGTTCCTTTTTCCTGTATTTGCGCTCTGTAGCCGGTGGGCTCAGCTTTGATACGTGGAAGCTTTAGTCCAGAAAGAAGTGTCTTGGGAACCAAATAGGACTGGTTGATGGGGAAAACTTGGAGACTTCGTGAGTGCCAGGAGCATCAACGGCAATGATGGAAAGCGTGATTAGATAGATGGGAAGGCGGTTTAAAAAGGTCCAAAGAAGACTTTGGTCTGGAGTAGACACTGGAACGTTTCAGAAGTATAGGCAGTGTAAGGAGGGTAGGTTCCCCCTGCCCCAGTCACCTGCAAGTCAGTCCTCTCCCGGGGTTTTCTCAGTATTCTCCATAGGGGCCGTCAAAGTTTTGAGCACAGCTCTGCTTGTCTGTTGCTTTGTCACTGACTGGCATGGAGCCAGGGCACAAGCCCATTTGAGACTGGCACCAGCCCTGTTGTGGTTGTCTGCATTCAACTTCTGGCCAGCAGTAGCACAGGAGTCCATCCCTGGACATCACAGGGCTGGGGACAGGGTCAGCAAAATGAACTTCGGGGTGACAACAAGGACAAACCTCAATTCCTGGAGCTCCTTCTTACAGTAGGAGATAGATCTGTTTGCTACAAGTACAGGCCGTGTGTAACCTTGGTTTTTGTTCTTGTATACTGGTGCCTGAAAAAACATTAATACTTGGGACATTTTTATTTTGCCAAGGTTCTGGGAGAAGGAAAAGTGAAGAGTTGGGCACCATTTAGCTCCTGGAATTCTGCAAGTCCTTCCGCCTTCTGCATTTTGGCTGTTGGGCCTTTCCCCTCACTAATTAAAAGTTTTGCTGGGGCGTTGTCATAAATTAAATACTTTAATGAACGTGTAACCGAAGCCCATACTCTGCAGCCAGTCCTCCTGGGACTCTACCAGCTCCCTCAAGTTGGGAAGGCGTTCCTGCTTGCCTGGTGCCGGTCTAATAAGTGGCCCACAAAGCATGTGATATTTTGCTTTCGATTTACAAAACACCAGATAAATGGTTATTAATGAGGAGATACCCAGCTCTCTGTATTTGTAACAAACATTAACTGGAATTACCAAGCCTTGTTTTCCTAAAGACTGTAACTTGACTGGGTTTTGGCTTAAAGAATCCAGAATTATTTTATGAAGTTAGTTTTCCAAGGGGCCACCTCTGACCTGTTTTTGTTTGTCCTTCCATAGTCTTCAAATTTGGAGGTTTTCCTTAAAAGAGAGTGAACAGTGACCTTAGCCCCAGGGATAAAGACCAGCAGGGGTAAATGTTCCCAGAAACCTCCAAAAACCGTAGAAAAGAAAGGCCATGTTCCCTTGGGTTTCCTGCAGAGACACTGGGATAAATCTGTTCTCAGGATTTAAGCAGTCATTCTGCCAGGCCAGGACCTCATTTTCGGTGAGTGGAGTGATATATTTATTCATTAGCAAGTGTTGACATTAGGTAGCAAAATGTGTGTAAACAGAGAAGCCACAAAGACAGGAATGTGCCATTTCCAAGGGGGAGAAAAGTTCTCCAGATCAGCCAATAGGAAGTGATTAACCTGCCAATCGGAAACTAAGACAGCTGGTTACTCACCCAAAATGTTTTGTTGAAAATAGAACAAAAAAAGAAATGAGAAAAGGCGCTGCTGTGTAAGAATTTAGCATCAGTAATAGACAAAGCCCCCACAAAGGGAATTGTCCTGCCACATTGGAGGACGGCCAGGTCTGGAGCTGGAGCACACCCCCCTCCCACAGGTCTGGGGCTGGTTTTGCCAGCTGCTGTGGCCAGGGGCAGTGAGGTCAGACCACAGATGGGCGCTGACCCAGGTCTTCATCCCCATTTTGCATATGGGAGAATGTTTGGCCCGGGAATCTACGTGCACCATTTACATTTTTCAGTTTCTAAGTCCTTGGTTGAATTTTTAGTCTTGGGTTACTAGGTGAAACAGGCACAAAGTTTTACAGTGGACAACTGTTAAAATCTTAACCAGTTGCACAACTAAAGGAATACATCCTGTGACATCTCTATCTTGGGAAAAGGTGATGGGAATGGGGCTGGGTCCTGGTACCCCTGCAGCCTTTGGAGACACAGAGGCTCAAAGCTAGGAGCTCCATTTTGCTGTAATTTAAGCCACTCTACTCAGCCTCTGGGAGGCCTGGACTTGAGACACCTACATACTGTGTGGTCCAGCCAGCAGAGCCATCTTTGAAAGAGCGTTCACATGACTGACTGAACCTAGGGCGAGCCTGTTGTGACTTGTGGCTGTCAGAAGTCAGAAAGACACCCCTACCTCCGCATCCCACAAGAATTTGCTGTTTAAAGCTGGGTCTCGGGGATAGCTGTGTGGGCTCTGCTTCCCGTGTTTCACTGCATGTAATGGTCTGAAAGGTTTGAAGAATGGCTGGCCTTTGGGGGTGGCTGGGTGAGCTCTTGAGGGCCCCAGGTGGCCAGTGTCCATTGGCAGATCCAGCCTCCAAATCAGGTCGGAAGTCTGGCATCTTGATCTGAGATCTGGCACTGCTTTTGCCTCTTAACTGAGGTGCCTCTTAACTTTTCTAGGCCTCTTTTAAAATCAGCATGATGAAAGAGATTAGGTCATTCATTCATTCTTTGGTTCATTCATTCATTTTACAGGCATGATGATGTGCCTATCTAGAAATGTGAGGATTCTGATGCAGTGCTATGTTCTTCTATAACCAGGGTTCATTTGAGTTCTGGATTGGGTGAACTACCTGGGGCAGAGCTAGGACCCTTGGGGTATACTCGTGGTGTGGTTGGTGGGTAGGGGCTCCTCTGTCTTTAACAGTACTTAGGAAGCCCAGAACGCAGTTGCTGAGGCTATCGTGGGACTCCCAGCTCCTTTACCTCGTGCTGATTCTCAATAGTTCACTCCTTGGCTGCTCCCCAGGGCTGGGTTTTCAAAGACTCTGTTGGAGCTGCTCGGAGAAAGGAATGAGTCTTTTTCTCCCACAGAACCTAGCGCTTACCGAGTGCTTGGTAATACTTAGTGTTGCATGAGTCAGGAGTGGCCTAGAGCTTCTGTCTGCCAGCCAGCCTGGGCTCTGGGGAACAGGCAACACAGGCCTAAGGTGAGACCCTGACTTTAGAGATCTGTCTGTGCGGAGCTTTTCCGTGAGTGAGAGATGGAGGTTTGGCTCCTTAAACCTTAAGGCCAGTCTAGATGGCCTGGCCACCACCAGGAAAGAGGGTAGGGACTCCACGGCCTGCCTGCGGGGTGAGAGCCATGGAATAGTGCTGGACTCTTAGGTATAGCCTAGCTCACTGGGTGGCCCTTTGAGCTAGTCAGTGGTGCCTCAGTTTACCTGGGTGCCTGTGGTATACTTTGCTTCTTCACAGGGGTGGCAGTAAGGCTTAATTAACGTTTGTAAATCCCTCCTGAGATCAAAGCCACTGCAGATGGGCAGAGCACCATTTCATAAAAACACTTGTGGTTGCCTGCGTGGAGCTGCTTACCTTTGATCTGAGATGGGCTGACACCCTGAATGTGGTCCCAGCTCTGCTCTGAGATGCCTGGCTTTTCCTTTGAAACACACCTTGCCCCTGGGATTCTGCCAGCCAAAGGTGCGGGGGAGTGGCTGCGGATAAGTCATCATGTTTAATGTGGGGATGTCTTCTGTCTGGGAGGAGTGGGTTGAGAAGCCTATCTCTAGAAAATGATGAAGGCCCTCAAAAAGGTTTAGAAAGTGCAGAGTATACACCATTTAACAAGTAACTCCATTTCCTGCCTGCCTCTATTGTTTTCTGTTTGATTAAGTGTATCCTGTAAAACTGTATATTCATGTTACGAATTAGACTTTACCCTGATAAAATGAGATTACACACACAGTCTTCTTTCTCCCCTGCCCACTGTGGCCACCTCATCCCCACACCTGCCTCCACTTCTGCCCCTCCCCTGCTTAGGAGAGTTCTTGAAAAGTTGTCCTTCCAGCCTGGAGAATGTGGGAGAGGGAGTGACCCAGAGTTAGAGAGAGAACCTTAGCATTAAGGGGGGCAGACAGCAGAAACCCAAAGATGGTTTGGGGCTATGTGTAGGCCACTGAAGGATTCCCATGGGCTACTTGTCCCTGGCTGCTGTTTTTTTTTGGCTTTCCTATTTGCCAGCATGGCCGAGTGGTTCTGATTGGAAACCCACAGGGACATTGTCCTAGTGGCCTGGGGTAGGAGGCCTGGTGTCTGCATGATCCAACCTGTTGTGTTTGCTGCGGACTTGGGCAACACCTTTCCTTAGCCAGGCTCTCTCCTAGGACTTCAGGGAGTTTGGCGCCGTCAGTGGTGCATGACAAGCTTACAGGGTCTTGTGTATTTGTGTTTCATGGGACTAATGAGTTGTTCATGGACATTAGGTTTTGCTTTAATTGCTTGGAGGGCGGTTGTGGAGTCTCTGTTTCTCAGCTGGAATTGTCATTATCCTCATTAACGGTGAGGTCACTGTGCGGAGTACCTGAGGGTGACAGAAGTTGAAGAGAAGCTTATAGTCTAGTGAAGGGCAGGTGCAATCTAAAGGTAAAAGTCAGTGAGGAAACTCCGAGTGTTGGGTGCCAGAGGTTTTATAGGAGCTGAGGGCAGAGAGCCTTGCAGGTCTGGGGTTGCCTGGGAAGGTTTCCAGAGATGAGGGGTTTGGACTAGCCTGGGAGAGGTAGAACATTTCCCCTCCGGCTCGGAGCCTTGCTGAGAATGTTCTCTGTCTTGATCTGGTGGTGGTTACACAGGTGTATACATGAGTAATATTCATCGCGTCTACTCGGGATTTTGTATACTTTGCTCTACTTAAGTTACTCCTCAATTAAAAAAGGGGAAAGAAGTCCTTACAGCCCAACACCAATCTTGAGAATGTTCTCAAGAACTGGGAAACCTGTCTTTAAAAGGATGAAGGCAGAGAGGACATGGGCTCCAAGGAGGGAGGCTTCTGCCCTTGATGAGGGATGACAGAGCAACCAGGGTTAAGAAAGTCCAACCCAAACCTCCTTTGACCTTGGAACCACCTAGTATCCTTAATGGGGGACTGGTAATGCAAGAGAAATTCCAGCCAGTCTGATTGAGCCTGACTTGAGTAATGATTAACTGGCCGCCCGGAGCCCAGACGGGTGACAAGGTGCTGTGGTCTGTCTTACGATGGGCAGCGAAGCCTGAGCAGACCATTAATAATCAGCATCAAGGCCACGAGTCAGCCTTTTGGAATGTGTGGTTTGTCTTTCATGCTGTTTAGAGCGTGCTTAAAGATGGATCTTGGTGTTTTTATTTGTGTATTTATTTCTTTCTCTCCCCTTTTCAAATCCACAGCAGACTGTCCAGATGCTGTGCCTTCCTCCGCTGAAACAGGGGGAACGAATTATCTGGCCCCTGGGGGGCTTTCAGGTAAGATGCTTTCTCTTATTTTCTTGGCAGTTCAGGGTTTCTTGAAATTGCCAGAGACTGGAGGAATGGGGGCGGCCTTCTGCCACCCCAGCTGGTCTGGACTTCATTCTCACGTTTATATGCCTTAAGCTGGATGCATCGGTGGTGACATTGTGGTACCTTTCAGCTGCTCATCCTGCAGTCCTTTACGCTCCGGACACTGGGTCTGTGCCATGGACGGGGAGACAGGAGCTAGCTGGGGACTGCTTTGGTGTGTGAAGTGTTTCCCGGTTATTTTTAAGCAGCTCCTGGCTTGAGGGGCTTCAGCTTGGTGACTTTGGTGTCATTAACTCATGCATTTGAGCTCTTTTTTTGCTTTTGCTCTTTGTGCATGGGGGATGTAAAGGGAATGGACCCACTTTTAAGGAACTTGTTGAAGACAGATCCCAAGCATACAATGGGATTTCAGAGCAGATCTGAGGCTTCCCTCCCAAGTTCTGATTCCCAGCCCAGCTTGCTGCAGGATTTTGCAGCACATGTCCGGGCCTGGGAGCACCAGGGTGGGAGCACTGCCGACAGTAGGAGCTATAATGGTTCCCTAGCGGGGCAGGTTTTCCTCGGGGCACACAGGTGTGCGTGAAGGCCTGGAATGCCAGTGCTGGGGAGTCACGGGGCTGGCTGAGGGGCACTGGGTAGCCATAGCATTGTTGTTCCTGAGGATGTGAAAAGAGGACAGTACTTAGAGAAACTCACTGGCAATGTACATGGGATGCATTTCATGTTCTGAAGAAATCCTATTTCTACCTGTTTTTCCATCCCCACCATGTCTTCACTAGATTTTCTAAGAAATGGCTAAAGCAAGAGGGAAAACAACCTTAGAAACAAATTCCAGCAGAGTTTTGGGCATTTGGCATTTCCTTGCCTGTAGGATCAAGTGGTAGCAGCTCAAATAGAAGCTGTGCCGCGTTGTGGTGTATCCTCTTGTGTGAGGGGCATCCTCTTTTGTGGGGTACCTGCTCTACTTGAAGTGTTTCCTCCATGGCTGGCTGAGGCAAAGTTCATTCCCGGACGGACGGCTCCCTCCCAGGCTCCCCTCTCCAGGAACTGAGCTTGCTGAGAACGTCTTTAGGGAGACCCTTGTTTGTTTTCATTTCAATGCAATATATACTCTGACTGTTATCCGAGACTGAGGGTATTGTTGATTCAAAGCTTCTAATGAGAATTAAGCAGGAAAACGAGGGACCCAGAGAAGGGAGGGGGCTTCAGGCAGGACAGTGGGAGTGGACAGAGGGAGAAAAGGCAGCAGTGTGTGAACTGCATCTTTTCTGCTTTCTAAGGCTGAGAGAGTTCTTGAAAGAAAGAAGGCCAATGAGAGGAAAGGGTCTCAGCAGAATAACACGCTCAGGATGTTGTTAGATAGTTTTATTTTTTAAACCCTGAATGTGCAGGGAGGAGCCCCGGCCCCTCCAAACCACATGAAATAAGCAAGGGAAGTGGCAGCTTTTGAAAAGGTCCTTTCGGAAGGTTTGTCTTATTGATAACATCTTGTCTGTCTCCCCTGCTGGAGGAAATGGCGACACAGGCTGAGATGCCAGCCTGAGCGCCTCCTCACCCACCCGCCCATGCCATGTGACCTGTGGAGCCCTCAGGAGATGGGTGGGCTTTTTTTTTTTTTTTTTTTTTTGACAGAGTCTCGCTCTGTCACCCAGGCTGGAGGGCAGTGGCACGATATCGGCTCACTGCAACCTCTGCCTCCCAGGTTCAAGCAATGCTCCTGCCTCAGCCTCCCAAGTAGCTGGGATTACAGGCACCCACCACCATGCCCGGCTAATTTTTTGTATTTTTAGTAGAGACGGGTTTCACCATGTTGGCCAGGCTGGTCTCAAACTCCTGACCTCAGGTGATCCATCCACCCCGGCCTCCCCAAGTGCTGAGATTACAGGTGTGAGCCACCGCACCCAGCCAATGGGTGGGCTTTTTGTTCCCCAAAGCTCTTCCAGTCCTAGAAAGAAACTGGGGGTAAAACAATCATTAACTCCTTCCCCTCACTCCCCAGGTACTTGTAGACATAGATATTAATAAGGAGCTGCCAGGAAGAAGCAGTGACTCCCTGAAGGGGCAGCGTGGCTTAAGAAGGCTGCAGAAAGGAAAAAGGGGGCCCTCCACATGGAAAGAGCATTTGTTTTGAATTTCTTCTCTTGATTTACTAATTCCGAAGGCTTCAAAGTTTGAGCTCTTTCTTCTTTCAGTTCAGAGTTGGTGCAGTGTATTCATAATGGGCCATGGTGGGGAGGGTACGGTGTTTTGGGGGTTGATGTCACTGGCTTGGGGGCATCTGGAGGGGAGGCGATAGGCACAGAGAAAAACCCAGGGCTGTCCTCTTTGTAGCGAGAATGCCTTCCAAAAGGGAACTCTATTGGCCCCGGTCCAGGGCAGAGAGTTTTGTAAATGGAGAAAGCCCAAACCTCCTCCTTTTCACGAAGTTGATCCTTCCATGGGGGGGTGGCCTGGGTGTGTCTGCCTTGCTGAGGATGAGGCCAGTGCCTGGATGTGGCAGGGCTGGATGGGGGAAGGGGCATAGCAGACACTGAGGTTGGGGGTTGGGAGCCTGGCAGCAAGGTGGGGAGCAGTGAAAACGCCTGTGAGGAGTTTCTCCCTCCTCCTCCTTGAAATAACCTCTCTGAGCCTCTTTCACAGGCCCTGTGTGCTGTTTTCCTTCCTGTCCTGCCCTGGCTGAGAGCAGGCTTAATGAATGGGGCTCAGTTTAGGGTGGGAGGAAGGTCGGCAGCAGGAGCCAGGGCTTGATTCTTTTGGCAAGGGAAGAAGGGAAAGAAGAAACAGCCAAATGTGAAAATGTGTGCCTTGGAGGTGGGGGTGGGGTGTGCTCAATGGCCTGTCCCCTCCTGAAATGCAGGGGTGACTCCAAGGCTGGCCCTTCCCTTTCCTGCGCCCTTGCAAACTGCCGGGGAGGAAGGGGAGTGGGTGGGTAGGAGCTGGGGGCGGGGCTGCTGGCTACAGGTTGGAATTCCAGCATTGCAGCTTTCTTTTGGGGGAGTGGTGGGGGTGGGTAGACGACAGGCCTGGTCGTTAGGGACTTGCAGTGAAACACACCCCACCCCTGCAAGTTTCCTCGGTCTGGGAAAACGGGACATTTTTAGAAGGCAGCGACTTGCTTCCAGGAGATTGTACTTTCATTTTTGACAGCTGGCTTTCTGAGACAGATGGATTGCTGGGTGCAGGCTTGTGTGTGTGTGTGTGTGTGTGTGTGTGTGTGTGTGTGTGTGTGTGTTGAGGGGGTGGGTGAGTGGGTGGGTGGGTGTTGCCACAGACGTGCAGAGAGACAATCCCGTGCGCAAACACATGAGAGTGTGCAGATGCCCACAGGCAGGCTCTGGGATGGGGTGGGTCCCTGTCGCTGGGGTGGGTTGATGTCAGGGTGGCCTCTCCAAGAGGTTGTGGACTTGGTGGGTGGAGTTTGTGAATGGATTCTGCATTGTGATTTGGCAGTCTGCGCCCGACCCTCTGGGATGGGTGTCTTTTGAAAGGCATGCAACTCCGGAACAGGTCCTTGCCGCTGCTTGGACATGGATGTGTCATGGCCCAGGAAGATCACCTGAGAGGTCTTATGTAGCTGGGAAGCCTCTAGGCTCAGATTCGTTGTGGAAATGGAAAGGATTTGCTCCCAGAGCTTTCCGGGGATCACTGGGAATGCAAAGCATCTGTTGGAAGCTATCATCTTTGCAGCCTCCATCTGGAGTTTCTGTCTGGGGGCTTTCATTTTGCCTGTCTGCTGTCCTGGTTTGGGTGGGTTGAGGGAGCAGCATCTCCCTTGTGAGTTCTGGGTTATTCAACTGCAGACTCATCTTCTAGCCTCCTCCTTTATGTATGAATGTCTGGAACTGGCTCGGCCTCAGCCATATGGACCTCCCCAGTTAGGGTAGGGATTGGAAGCCAGCAACCACTGGTAGTTATTTAAACTTCAAAAGAAATGCTCCCATGGATCTCAAGGAGGGAGGTAGGAGGCAGTGGAGACAGAAGTGCTCACGTGTCCTGGGAAACCCCGTCTCTTGGCTGTGCAAAGTCATACTTGTTGGAGAGACCCGGCACCAGGCCTCCAACCCAAGGGTGGCCAACTCTTTTGCTAAGGTCTTAAGATTCATCTGTGGCCACTAGTTCACAAGTCTGGGGGATGGGAGCGTCCTTGAGTCAGTATCCATTCAGCATTCAAGAATGTTTCTCTCTCCGTCTCTTTGATCCCTGCTGGCATCTGTCATAGTCTCAGAGGAGAGCCTTCAAAAATACCTGTATAATCTGAAAATGCACCCCTGGCTCAGTCCACAGTTGACTTGGGCTCAAACCAAGTAGCGTAGGAAACATTGCTCCATCCTGTTTTAAGGAAAGTTAATCAGCTGCACGTGAACAATTATTCATTGTCTGGCTTGGAATTGTGATCACGAACTGGGAACCTGGGCGCCTGCTGCTCTGCTCTTTAAATTTTTTTTATTTTTTTTAAATTTTTTTTCTTTTATTATACTTGAAGTTCTAGGGTACATGTGCACAACATGCAGGTTTGTTACGTATGTATACATGTGCCATGTTGGTGTGCTGCACCCATCAACTCGTCATTTACATTAAGTATATCTCCTAATGCTGTCCTTCCTCCCTCCTTTAAATTAAGTCACCTCCCCATGCCTGGCTAAACAGCTCATGGTTGCACTGAGATCTCTAATGCCATTGTGGAATGAGGGTGGGGGGCATAGGTTGAGCTCACAGGCAGGTGGGCCTTTCACCCAAGTGCTCATGAGCATGGACTTTGGGGGACTCAGGTGGACAGGTGCTTGTGACCATGAAAAAGCTCCTTCCTTCCCATCGCCTTAGTACCCTGCAGGCCACTGTGAGAAATGACAGTCTGGAACTCGAGACCTTCTGCCTCTCCTTAAACACCTGCCAACAGGATGAGTCAGGGCTAGGGCGGGCTCACCTGGTGCACACCCACACCCTGGTGAAGACCAGTCCTGGAC